GTGGACTTCAAGTCAAGCTCAGTTTGCAAATGACACCGTATACTTTTAACACCCGAAGTTGAGCATCATTATCACTTTAACGATTAGATAGTACTTATCGACTGGATAGTTAGACCTTGACCATGTCCTTTAAAGGTCAATTTGTTTTATATCGAGGACGCATGTATACGTAAATTTTCCGAACTATCCATTTTCAGAAATATGGAAACAAAGCTGTCGTTCGAATGACCTTCAAGGTCACTGTTAGATACCCACAGAAAACTCCTATACCTATATCTAGATATAATTTCTCTTAGACTCCTGGTTTTAGATACTATTTTCCGTATTTGAACAACGTCTCTGTACAATTTGGACTAAAGAGGTAATTTATTGAGTGAGTACGAGATAAAACGATTACTAGCAAAAGAAGCCTTTTCTCGGATTTTTGTGGTTACGTCTCAATGTCATAGAGAAGAAGTGAACAAATCGACCTGGACCATGTGAGGAGGTTAGCTTTCCCAGGAAAATTAAACGTTGCGAAAACCGATCCTAACACCGCTGCTACTCGTCCTTGCACGTATGAGTTGGGCATTAGAAAATCGCACTTTTGGAAATACAACAGGCAGCAGCGGTGGCGGCAGTAGTAGACTCTTCGGTGTCCTGATCAGTCGCCGTGCGCTGTGCGGGTTCGAGTCCCGTCCCAGGTGAAATTTCTCTCTTGGATATGGATGTTGTGATTGTCCGTAGGTGGTAGATGGTCTCTGACTATCGAACGCGGAGGTACCACCCGGCGGTTCTCGTAGGCGGAGCCAGAATGTGTGCATGTTGCATGCACACGTGTTCCCTCGCCAGAGTCCGTATGGCGTCCCCCCTTTCCCATGTATCCCCCTATAGCCCCACGGTACCCAATGGGTGCTTAGGCCTTAGGCCTTCGTGATAGTTGGAGTATATAAAAAAAAGAGAAGTACAGACATGTCTCTTTCTGACTCCATTGTCAAACATTGTCGACTGACGTTTTTGCGTGACACGAATAGCTTCCCTTCTCCTCCATGCGGGTACATTTTTAGGGTGCAACGCGATGACACTGCCACCTACGAGTAGACCATTTCAGTGGTACAAGATGACAAGTGCTTCTGTGATAAATCCCCAATATAATCAAATTTCGAAGTATTGTATGTGCGGTGACAAACGAGGCGCTACAAGAAGGCAAATGCACAAAGGGTGCGGCAACATTATCAACAGAAGACCGCAATTATTTTATGTCTCAGAGGGACAACGTTAGATGGAGAAAAACGAAGATTGGCATTACTTCAGTTAGGTATTTTTAATTTATATAAAAAACAATAATTTAAAACTGCCTGATATGACCTCTATAAATTCTGTCAAACTCAGTATAGATGTCACCGGGATGACGCGACTTACAAGCCTGGTCAGATAGACGGTCGGGAATGGATGTTCAAGAAGTAAATTATTCAAAATCAATGTACATCGAGCCTTACTGATGATAATGATGATTCAAAAATTGTTTGTGTTTGAGGAAAACTAGCCCCAGTAAAAAATAAAATGGGTATCTATTACCGTCGTATACCGTAGCATCATAGAATAACTCTTGTCGACCAAGTTCCAAATAAATATCAGCAAGTTCAATCCATTTCTCGGTCATTTAGTATGTGTTTGTCAAGTTAACTAGTACCAATTTATTTCCACATGCGTTCAGTTGTGCGATGAAGGAAAACCCTTTCAAGAAATAAGGGTCTTTTCTTTCGACCCAAATAAAACTCCCACATTCTCACAGCTTCGTTTCCACGATAATAAATAATATCACCGCTGGCCAACGAAAAAAGTGGAACAGGCGAAAATAAATGACTTCTGTCAGCTGTTCACTTACAGGCCGGTCAGCGGCTGGGATGTGGAGGAAATTAATTATTTTTGATCTAAGCTCGATTGATCGACCCAGTGTTATTCTTCCTACGAGCATTCAGATAAATGATCGTTCCTTTCATATATGTTGCGTACACACTACCCATAAATAAAGAATAAAGCTGCTCATAATACGCTGTTTTCTGGAGACGATGGTCGAATCAATACAAGCGCAGCTAAGTGAAAGAATAAAACTGCGTCAAGTAGATTGACTCTGTACTTCCCACGCAATTCTCTGATTAGTAAGATAATTAAATAAATCGACCAAAGCAATTGCACATAAGAAATAGGTCAACCTACTTAGGAAAAAGGCTAACTACACACATGTATAACATAAGGAACTAACTAATGTAGCCTGTGACCTGATACTGCTCTAGGATGCAAAAGCTACGTCTAGTTTACTTTTGTTACAGAAATGTCATCGGGCGGTCCTTAGAGGTGACTATGATTTTCAATACCAGGGTTCTAACTTGCATAAGCGTGACCACTACATGTAATAATTGCGTATTACTTATGGGATTAGAAGCTTCTGGATATTAGATATTACTTCTCATTCCCTCCCTTTCATGAAAATTTCTGAAAATTCACAGTCTCTGAAACGTCAAAATAGAAGCTTGGATAATTTTTGTATTTTTATTTGCTTTTTGCCTATAGCATCGTCGCCACTATACCGATTTTTAAAACCGGTTAAACCTTTTCGCTATTAGCGCAGGAGCCTTGTGCGGACATTTCATCAAAATCCTAGCAGAACCTCCAACTTATAGCCATGGATTAGCGACCACCGAGAGAGCAACGGAAATAAGTCGATGGTCTTCCTTACCAAATGGCGAAAGAAGTAACATTCCTATAAGATGCAATTTTTGATACCACTGAGTCAGTGCGCTACCGAATAATCACGTATAAACGTTATTTATCAAATTAAAAATGGAGGAACACCAGTTTGTATGTACAACAGCAATGCATCCTACAGCATTTTGATGCTGATTCTCCATGTTTACCGGAACGTACCAACATTGATCTCGAGAAACATCAGGTATGAAAATTTCAGTGATCACTTTCAAAGGTATCTAAAATCTTCATATTTGATACAGCTGTCGTCTGACTGTCATAGTTCTATGCCAAGTTCTCTGGAAGGACTCATTTTATCGTAATTAAACGTAGTTTTTTCGGCTAAATGATTAGCTGGATTCTGATAGGGCTAGTCCGTTCCTGGAAATCTGGATGAGATGAATGTTACTTACCACTAGCGTGAGATTTAAATTCATCTTTTGTTAATATCCAGCTAAAACTCAGCTATGCTTGATACGGATACTGGGTAACATATAGGATATGTTCTAAATTGTTTGGTGTATTTCAAGAAAGTTAATGGTCAGCGGTCCTCTATTGCAGGTCATGTCTGCAAGGCGAACGTGAAATCTTCCTCGGGAAGTTAGGCACCTCACATGGTCTAGGTCGATTTGTTCCCTTCTTCTTTATGACATTGGGACGTAATCACAACAATTATCTATTATTATAAGACCTTTCATTTTAAACTCACTGAATAAATTACCACTTTAGTCTAAGTTGTGTTCAAAAAGTACAGATACCGCAAATAATATCGAAAACAAGCAGTCTAAGAGAACTTCTATACAGACAGGTGTAGGAGCTTTCTGAGGCTATCTAACAGTGACCTTGACCTTCAGGGTCATTTCAAAGTCAGCTTTATTTTATTCTGGTTTGGCTCCATATTTCTGAAAATGAATAATGCGAAAATTTCACGTACAAATGCATCCTTGACCTACAGAAACTTGACCTTTGAAGAACATGATCAAGATCTAACTATCTAATCGATAAATACTATCAAATCGATAAAGTGATATTGATTGCTTTACTTTTGGTGTTGGAAACGGTGTGATATGATAAATGGGCTTCACCTTAAAATATTTACCTAAAGTGGGATCATCATCTACCCGCGCTATAAACGTCAATCAACAAACAGTATACTCAAAAAGAGTACCATTGTTTGGTTGCGGAAAAATTAGCAATTTTCGACAGATACAGCTTTGTTTTAATACTCGTCGTACTGATATACAATGCAGCCGATCTCCAAAAAGATGTACATATAATATCTTGGGATTCTTCTAGTCGGTTATTGGGAAACCCCTTCACAGCTTATGCAAGCGCATAGGACGAGTGGATATTAGCCCTTCATATGGGAGTACAACTGACACGAGTGGGTGTACTATACTTCGAAAAGGTTTTCTTGGATAAATTGAGCAGTATTTATGATCACACGTCAACTCTTTGCTTCTCTCAATGGAATTAACCGCATGTGAGATGGTGTGGATGAAAGATGCTAATGCTCGATGCATGCTTACTTACAGTTCTGCACGGCGAACAAGCTGCTGGTCTTACCTAAAACAAAACAAGCTCACGTTAGAATTACAAGCAGCTTTATTCCACAACTTGTGAATGAACTTTAAACAGCGCTGCAGAAAATTGATGTTCTTGAACAGAAAAAAGCTGCAATAGGTTATCGCTTGTGAGCTATGAAAAGCACAAGGAAAGAGCTTATATTTCCGAAAAATTATTATCTTATACAACTAAGGAATAAGAATGTTGTTGGCAATGCGAATCTTGACTAATCCAAATTATACCCCCGCTTTTACGCGCATGATATGCGCTTTCCAAATACACTCTCCATGTCTACAGAACTTTTACATAAAGAATTTACTTTTGACGTGATTCCTTTATACAGTGCGTCGCATCGGAAACTCCATCAATGGACTTCTCGAAAAGTAGGCAATATGCTACTTTTGAAAATTTGGGAGTATACTAATGTCAATGGGGCAACGGCAGCTAAAATACTTTCAATATGGTGCCACTTCCGGTTATACCGTAAGTTGATGCCAACTTGCCTATTTTAAATTCGACACCCTGTATATTACTCAATACGAGGGATGTGTTTTAAGTTTTGCATATAGAAACATAGTAGGACGCGCGGGTCGGACGTCAGTACTGAATCTTAACCTCACTCTTTAGTAAACTTGAATTCAAAGTTTCACAACAATACATGCAGTGATCTCACTACAGTGAATTTTTAAGTGTCACCAAGTCATTAGAAAAATGGAACTCAACCGAGAACATTTTCGCCCTATAATTTATTACAAATTTCAAAGGCAATTATCGCAACAAGAATACCTTGCTGAGTTACTGTGTGTTTTCGGGAACGAAGCGCCACATCAGCCAACAATTTCCCATTGGTATGGAGAATTCAACCATGGAGGGGTGAGTCTTAGCGACGATCCCAGGGTAGGTGCATCAAAAACGGCAGTCACCCAGGAAAACGTCGATGCTGTGCGCAAACTCATCATTGAAGATAGACATGTGACATATAGCGAGATTGAGACGTCCTTGAAGACCTCAAAAACCTCAAGCCAAAAAAATATACATGAAGAATTAGGAGTAAGAAAATTAGTTTCTCGTTGGATACCCCACCTGTTGACTGAAGAGCAGAAAGCAGTCAAGGTTAATTGGTGTCAAAAAACGCTTGACGTTTTAATTCCCGAAACTCAAAAGATGTGTACAGTATTGTTAGTGGTGATGAATCGTGGATTTACTGTTACAAACCCGAAGATAAACGACAGTCGGCTGTTTGGGTGTTCCAAGGTGAAGAAAAGCCAACAAAAGTCATCCGTTCTCGAAGTATTCCGAAAAAGATGGTCGCGACATTTGTGTCCAAAACGGGTCATATTGCAACAATTCCTCTTAATGAACAAAGAATTGTTACTGCGGATTGGTATACCACCATTTGTTTGCCAAAAGTCATTACCGAGCTTCGAAGAATCACCCTGAAAGAAGAATCATCCTCCATCAAGACAATGCAAGGTCGCGCACAGCCCAAAAAACAAGGCAGTATTTAACGGAAGAAAACGTGGAATTATTGAACCATCCTCCATATAGTACCGATCTAAGTCCTAACGATTTCTTTACTTTCCCGAAAATTAAAAAGGGACTGCGTGGCCAAAGGTTCCAGTCACCAGAAGAAGCAGTTGACGCATTCAAAAATGCCGTTTTGGATCTGCCAGCAAACGAGTGGAATAAGTGCTTCGAAAATTGGTTCGGGCGCATGCAGATGTGTATTAATCTTCGTGGAGAATACTTCAAAAAACAAGAAAGTCATTTAAAACTACCTACCATGTTGTTTTATTTCCATATGCAAAACTTAAAAGACATCCCTCGTATTCGGATCCTACACAAAATTCTAATTGCATTTCATGTATTATCGCCTATACCCAAGTCTGACCGTTTAAAACATATTTCAAATTTTATGTCAAAAATGACGTTTGCAGGCTCTAAACTAATTGCTGGTTTCCCGTATGTAGAACACCTTATTGCTTAATGTGGATTCATTTTCTGGTAAACAGGGATATAAGCTTAATAGACTTCATATGATATTTCGATAACTATTTATACAGGGTGGTCATAAAATTATTATAAATATTAAATGTCCGAAGTTGCCAAAAGTCGACTTTTTGAAATGAAAACCTCCTATTTTTATAAGCTTATCGCATCAAGCATTAAGAATTAACGTAACTGTATACAGGGTTATCTATCCCAAAAATGTTTACTTTTCGAGTAATTTGCAGATTATCACTTTTCTATTTGTAAAACTCCTATAAGTACAGATTTAGTTTTTTAGTTATTTGGCTATGACGGCGGGACGCAGAGAATAAACAATTGAGCACTACAGAAATACCACTATGTCTAGTTTTAAGCTTTTAATAATAATATAATTAATTTTCATGTATTCGTAATCAGAATAATATGAAGACTAATTATGATAAGTTTGCTGGTAGATTTCCAAACAAGCATACATACATTGAAGTTAACAGGAAACTATAAGCTGTTTCAATTTATATTTAACTTTCAAACTACTATAAAACAATATTTGAACACAACAAGAAACAACTTATTTTGGTATATCTCCAAAACGACCACCCCTAACTTCCAAACATTTAAAACATCTACGTATTAACTCCTGGTTAGTGGCAGTTCTTGTGATTTCCAGACTCAAACCAGCAAATGCATTTCTACCTCCCTGCTTACAGTCATCTAGAGTAGTCAGTGGGTTCTGGTATAAACGGAAGTGCCACCATCTTGAAAATATTTTAGCTGCCGTTGTCCTATCGGCATTGGTATACACCCAAAATTTCAAAAATATCATATGTCTGCTTTTAGAGAAATCTATCGATGAAGTTCCCGATGCGACACCCTGTATAATTCATCGTCTCTTGAAATTAAATCTTGTCTTCAAGGTTTGGTACCTTCAAAAAACATTGAGAATCTGCATTCAGGGTGCCAAAATTAGAAATGTATTTTTTACTTCTGTCAATGAAACAGCCTTTAGATCCATCTATCAATAATTACATTACGCTATACATATGACGTCTAATATTTTTATACTATTAGCTTCATTGCTTATTACTATTATTATTCAAATTTTGCCCATCACCGCCGAGGAGCTGATGTTCAAAAACACGGGTATGCTGGCTTACTAAGAAATACGCTCAACATAGTACTAAACATTGAAGTCCAGTTGTTATGCTCACACTGTTGCTTATAGGTCGCAGTGCGGCTCTTAAACTACTGTACAGGTGAACATTGCTAGCAAGTACATATTATTTTTTTTTATATTATCATACTATTAATGCTATTATTATAAATTCTCAGATAGTTCCAGTACAAGACTGGTTTCAAAGTGGGAAAGATGTTTTTTCTTAAAATTGACTAACTACCTTTGATTGTACATAGCTGAAAGCAAAAATGTGGGACACATTCGAATCCAATCTGATACTAACCTTCGACTTCAAGGGGTATGTGTCACGGATTGCTAATGATACATTGCTTGATATATATTTTCCAGGACAAACAAATATTTTGTTTCCACACAATATCGCGCATTAAGATAACGCCGGCCGATGCAGCATATTTGTTTTTCGTGCTATACGAGCAAGGGTGAAATATTAACATTCGATCGAAGTTGCCTCGGGATATATGGATATGAAATGTAGATACATTGAACGTGAAGCACTGTTTTGTTTTCTCTTTGTACCGAGGAGATAAGAAATAACCTTTCGGAGATCTATCGCATTGTAGGTAAATGAGTATTCAATACGTAATTCGGTATATGGGACAAAAAGCGACAGGGACAGGAGCAACCTGTGGCTGCAGCCCCCCTGGCAATTCGCATATTTGGCACGGCTCTGTGTGCAGTATTTGGGACTTTTAAGATACCCCTTATCACCCGCTTTTTAAAAACTTGTAATAAGCTGTACTCTTTTACCGTTATTTTTGCATCTACTTTCTGACCTTGAGATATTGACTAATTTTTCTGAATCACATTGTATATTAGACTTTGTATAATGTTATCATATTACCTCATTCACTTAATGCCTTGTGGATGCCCATATATGAAGGAACTCTACACCTTTAATGGGAGTATATATGGGGAGCAGCGAAGCCACCTTCAACGACATGCATGGCTTCGCTTAGTTAGGCATTTAATTGGTGCACCGTGGTGCACAACCCAGGTAAATAATACCCTCTTCAGTCGGCAAACAGCTAACTAAATTGCTACCGCTCGGTTTTTAGCCCGCTTTCTGAGGGTCGGTTGTAATTGCCGAGTAGGATTAACGCCTTGCTAATCGTTACTTTCTTGGCTGACGATACTGCTCGTACATTTGCGCTGAATGGATTGAAGTTCTCTGAAAAGTTTTGTAATTTCTCAAATGAAATATGTGAAATACATGGTGATCGTATCCGTACCTGGGCGAGGGTGCCACATAGAAAAACTCAACCGCTAGCGTCAAAGATAATCAGTATACCGGGTGTTCAAAGTTCGACCGTTACTAGTGTTGTGCATTTAGAATCGCAATATAGAGTAGCACCGGAGAGACACGAATTTTCACAAGATCGTATTTTCTCCTGACTGTTTTTGTGATGGGACTTTTGAATACATGGACACTTTCATTCTTTTTCATCTGCAAAGTGACTATTAGAGTTTCAATCCGACGTTTTCTATCTTGTTCTCAATCGTGAGCCTTATTTTTTCTTATGGCATGTATATTATGTCATACACCATTATTGCATTGCCAAGCTATAATTATTAAAAGAATCGTTATTTCCTCCACCTTTTATGAACTGGGCCTATAGAATACGATATATATAACTTGAGGGAAAAATGTAATAAGCTGTTTTTCAACGGATTTATATACTTGAGAGTATACAGAAAGGCTCTCGCCGAGAGATAAAAAAAAATTGCTAGCTAACATTTTATTAAATGACGAAGTTAGAAAAAACACTTTTTCGAATTTATTCAGATAGTCATGAACTGGTATAAGTGGCCCGAAAAAAGTTGTTAATTCTTTCAAAATAACGGCCTATTTGCCAAAATGCGAAATCTGTTATTACAAAAAGACATCAGAGAACGTGAATTTCTATATTTATTTTTTACTGGAAAATACATAACGGTAAATCGGGAATAATAATCAAAAGTTGAAGCCTTTGTGGAACTCAAGGTCCAGGAAAAAATTCATTCAAAAATACTCTATCGTCTCTGAAATGTTCTAATTGTTATTAATTTTTTGTTTTCGAGAAAATGGCCTTCTTTCACGAGCTGTCCAGCGACTTTGGGTCGACCAAGTAGCCTCACATGGGGCTCAGGGTCGTATCGTCAAGCGTTTCTACAATTGTAGAACGCCTTTATGGCCTCCTTGATTTCCATAGTATTTTCTTTCCTCATGTTTCCTTTTTGAATCGTAGGAAATTTAAGGCCGATGAAACAGATGATACAAATTAAAAGCAATTAAAATTGATGCAAATAGATACCTGCACCATAATTCCATAATAGAGCAATGACACGGAACACTACAAATATATATGAAGGACAGCAGTAACTATGAAAAGTCAAGGAGGCCATAAAGGCGTCCTACAATAATATTGTAGGAACAACTGACGTTACGTCTCTTAATCTCTTGCTAGAGACGTGCTTCAGTAGCTCATTAAAAAATATACTAGACCTTTATGTACTAACCACGTAAAAATGCGCCGTCAAGAGTTACATTATTTTTACCTTATAAACAATAACAGTCGTATATACTTAGGTTGGTCACCACTGAAAAGCTTAGGAATAATGCACAATTTAACCGAAAAAATGTTCGATAAATACGTCATATTCCTTCTTTGTTATATAGCACTAGAAAGAGTAACATGGCGTGCACTATCCATTGCAAAGACTAAAAATAAAACGCGCCTGGAACTGTGTCTCTCGGGTGGTTAGGATACGAAACATTCATGTTAAACTTGAAACGGAAACTATGCCCAACCATACACCAGTATTTACTAATCTGCCTTTTGAAGAATATAGCAGTCGTGTCTCATTAAAAGTGCTTGTTTTCAACAGTATAGAAAACGTTCCTGGATATGCTTCCTTTTTTGTATACGAGGCAGCCCCGCAGGCAGAAGTCTAAATGCCAGGACACCACAACTGCTATGGGGATCCCAAATAAATTTTGTGAATTCGATTTTTGAACTGCCTAAGGTTAGTAGAACTGTTAAAAGCTTCCTTCATAACAGGAATCAAAATCGTGTCTATGGTGACTCTCCGGCAAAAATGCAGATTATCAGACGCTTTGCAGCAGAACATACGCCATCCAACATTGGTGTCCTGTATTCCCCCATTACCACCCACACACTCCGACACCATTGTTATTAACGTCTTGGATCATGTAGGGTCAAGTGTAATTAGAGCTTAGACTAGAGTATATAATATGCATGAATTTCAGCATCACAAATTTTATTTTGAAAAACCTACATCACGTCACATGTTTCAAGTTACGTTATAGTGCTGTCGATCTTTTTATGATTAAAGATTTGGACTTGGGTATGCGGGTAAAATTGGCAGCCCTAGGTGTTAGCTAATTTCTCAAGTCTCAACTAGGCCTTGAAACTAATGTTTGTTCCTATTTTGAGTTTAACATTATCACTCTGCTAGACAGCATTCTAGCTAAAGTAAGGTTTCTAATTTCACTAATTGACTACTTCTACTTTAGTGTGCTTTTAGACACCAACATGATACCACCTATATTTCACTGATACATGAAAAGGTCTCGGCTTTTTTTAGTTTCCTATGATATTCAGGCTGTATTGAGATATTGACATTATCAGAAAGCTAAAGCTGTAAAGTCACATTTTTCAAATGCGGCGTACAGTCAACAAAGTAATTTAATTGCACACTGCGTTTTTCTAGTGCTGGGCAGACTTTTATGGCGAGCGTGAGAAATATTTTAATATAAAATGGAGCAAGCGGCTAAACTGCACCAGAGGCTGTAAATTGTTGAAGTGTGACAGGCTGGAACCACGCACGACAGCGTGCACTGTACCAGCTAGTCCAAGGAAAATGCATTATTTTTTCCTAATTGCTGGATTTAGCGCACCGTGGCACTGGCTGAGAAAATAAAACCGTCGCCAGTGTAGCCAACATTATCTCTATTTCAAGTGTAGTGATGTACAAAAGCTTTTATCTTCCCGGTCCAAATAATCAAGACAAAGGTATTTAGATGAAGCTAAACTAAAGGTGCAGAAACGACAGTTGTATAGGTCAATGATATTCTGCATCTGCAAAGGGCATATAAAACCTAATTCATGCACTTTTTTCTTATCCAGCTCAGCAATGTATCTCCAACTTTTTAATGAATCCGGTGTCCAGGTCTTGAGTATCGTATAAACTTTTTTTGATTCGCCGTATGTATTCCTCCACTTCTAAGTGTATTTATTGCCAGACAACAGGAAAAGGAATTACTGTCATCCTCAGGGAATTTTAACATATCTGAGCAGTTACAGTTCTTTAGAAATACTTGATTAGGTGTATGATCAAAACGCAATATATGGAGACGCTTTCTTATAAATTGTTTTTTCTAACACACTGTTAAATATTTTATAAATTTGAAATCACCTCAATGTTTTGCTTCCCAGGAACTATAACATTGCAGAGTTTCACTGATATCTGTTTATTTTTGAGGTAGATGTAAGCAACTTGAAAACAATCTGTGCATATTCAGCATCCATTTTTTGTTAATTTACGTTACATAACTGTAACTTAGCACATCTCAAACAATAGTTCAGTTTCGAAAATTAAGAGCAAAATACTATTTTTGGTAACCACCACCTAAAAATGGCATAGATTCATTCTATACTCCCTATGCCCCCGTTAGGATTTCAAAGAAAAGGTAGAACCGAATCGTGGCTAGGTAGGTGTACCCTCTCTCTCTCTCTATATATAAACTTCCCACCACGGATTTATCAAAAACCACTGATTAAAAGAAAAAAACGCCGAGACACGTCAAAAGATTTGTCAAGGGGGACATCTTTTTAACCAAAAACTACTTCACCCCCTTTCACCCTCTGTCCTACCCACCCCTTAAAAATTCTAAGTGACAAGGGATATCGAGTAATAGCTTCTTTGAAAAGTCTTCCGAAGTTCATTATTTTGATATTTGATTTTTAAAAATCGGTCGATTCGTTTTGAAGAATATTAGAAAAATCTTTATTGGCTTAATTTGTTCAGATAGAAAGCAAAAACACACGAAAATATCACTTTTATATTTCAATAAGTGTTCAAAATGTTGTCCATTAGGGTCTTTCAAATCATCAATTCGTTCATAATTTGAAATGGAAGACGTGGCAACAACCAAATAACAACCCGATTTTTTTCCAAACCTTTTTCATCTACACAGATATCCTGGGCGAGCTGTATTTATTGATATACCTTAGTTATTTGTTGCTAAGGGAACAAAATAATTTAATTTGATGCCAGTTACCTTTGTGACAATCTTGGGACAGTGAAAATTAATCTATGGATTTTTTTTTGTAATAATTTATTTAAACACAATAATACATTTAGATAATAGGATTTAGATCTTACTTCAAAAGTGGTTTACACACCAGCAAAAAGAGTGGAAATGGTTCTAATTAATGGTGCCCAAAATCAATGTGCTCGGCAAACTGCCGTCACGTTTAACACCAGACATCCGGGAAAGATAACTTCGCATAGGTATGTTTTGGACCTTGCAAATAAAAAACGTGATCATCGGAGATTTTTGTGATGAAGCCGCTGAAGTTGAAGATTTGGGTCATTTTGGACTAAATCCTAATACTTCATTACGAAAAATTGTTGCTGCGACTGGTATTTCACTAGGCTCTGTACACACAGCTACTGATCTCTATAAATGTCATCCATTCGAATTGAAAATACTGCAAGAGTTAATCGAAGATAACTTCGATAAGCGAGTTGAGTTTTGTGAACAAATGACTGCAGGGATTAATGATACCATTCATATTCATATCTGCTGCAGTACTGAATGCACGTTTTATTCAAATGGATTTGTTAATAATCACAACTGCAGGTATTGGAGCAATGAAAATCCTCATGCTTTTTTACTTAGTACATCCAAAAAATTAATGTATGGGCAGGCGTTTCAGGAAACAAAGTTAATGGGTCATTGTTTATTAATTAGAATTTGAATGGAGACATGTGTTAGAATATGTTGGAGAATACCATCAATGCGCTTGCCACTGAAACCATTGAAAACCAAATTGTAAAGGATAGAAACCTTATACCTGATGAGGCTGAAATATATTTCCAGCAAGACGGCGCTCCTCCTCACTATGTTGCTACGGTTTGGAAATGACTAGATGATGAGTCTGCAGATAAATGAATTGGCCAAAGAGGACCTACAGAACGGCCTGAGTTGACGCCATTAAGCCCGTATCGTCAGTCGTCCCTACAATTGTTTTTTATGGCGTCACTGATTTCGATAATATTATGTCTTCTTCGGTAAGGTACATGTATGACCTGCTGCAGATTTCTAGTCTGCTGTTAATCAGAAGTCAATTGTGATGTTAGGTTATGTTTCTTTTTTGACATTTAAGAAATGTTACACAGATGAATCACATGCTGAAGGATATTTTCTTGCAAATAATGTTGATAATTCAATAATAATTTCCTACATTGAACAAATTCGTCAGGCTGTGGTATCTTCAAGTCCCATATCTGGTATTAATGATCTAAAATCAACAATTTAATGCAAATGGATATGTATTTATATAGATTTGCCTAACAGCTTACAACCAAGCTGTTCCTTGATGAAGCTCGTAAGTTACAAAATTTCTAAACATTGCATATTCATATTTATACTTATCGCATTTTTTTCAAATGTGGTTCGTTCTCACAGACTTTATGAGATATTGGATAAGACACATTGTATCACAAGTGCAACTGCATTGTCAATGTCGGAGATGGCTGTCACAAATCATTGTCAGACTATGGATTGCCCAGTGTCAGGCTACAAGTATGTATAATTTGTAAATGATCTGAAATTGAGTTTAAACATTCCCTGCCCTATCTGGTATCTTTTTATTTTAGTGGAAACCTTAACCTATAAATCTAAAAAATATCATTATAAAATTCTAGTTCACACCAAGGTGTAAACATTTCAATGTTTCATGAATCTATGCATCTTTTTTTCAGATATTAACCATCGTGATATTGCAAACAAAAGAAGCGAATGATCTTCCTAAGAATGGTTCATGCATCCAGGCACTTGAAAGCATGTTTGAGGGAGCCAACCATACTGAAATAAGTGAATTTGCTTATTGTGACTGACATTTGTTACACTGCAATTTGTAAATTAAAGGTAGGCATAAGCCTGTATATATTCAGCCTGTGAAGGGGGTTCTCAAATGTCTAATGGTTAATGTTGCATGTGAGACATAAAATGTCACACGAAACTCGATAAAGTTAAAGTAGCTTTTCGAATATTGTAATCAAGATATCTATTTGACATAATCTCACAAAGCTGGTGCCACAGGTTAAATAAGAAACCAGTGATCCAGCAAAAATGCTATATGAAATACATATTTTAACTTTTATGGTTATATCGGTACTTCGGAGTAAAACATAAGAATTCACCATTACTTATAATACTATTTTTTCAGATCTACTTGCACTGCTCAAAGAACATCCAATCCTGATAAGCCCAGGGTACAAGATATTGTTCCAAGACAATAACTCCAGTGTAAGAAACGTTATTAGAGGAAAAAGACGAAGAGTCAATATATTTAAATTGGATATTTCAAGAAGTTTGATACCTAGAATTAATTATCTTTCCAAAATGATCTAATGTACCCCCCAAACTAGAAAAATTTCTTTGTAACTGATTAGATATTCCTTTAGCCCTGTTTACATAGCTTGTAATTTAGAAAATAGCATATATTCTAGTTAACGTCATGCTAGCGAAAAAACATTTGTTTTAAGAGAAAAGAAGATTAAAAATTGATGATATCTGATATCTCTAGATATTTTTAAACGAACCTATTGTATTTCTATGGGTATATAATGTAGAATGAAAATATTTATTTTACCAAGTATTCTTTTATTTATATTCTGCAAGTACCAACTGGAAAATATGATACACGAAATTGTTAAGGAATACATAAATAGTACGTCAAAATACATAAGTATCAGTAATCAAAATGAAGTCTATATCTAATAGGTACAAATAAAAACAGGAACTATGAACAAATACATAGTCAAAAAAACATATCCAAAATTAAAAACTACAATAGTGTATTACAATAACCTTTAATAAATTCAAATTTACTTACATAAAATATATAAGGTGTTTTTCAACTGAATGTAAAATATTTAAGAGGGTGACTTTTCGTTCCATTTTAACAAGAAAACTTCATATAATTGTATGTACTAAACGTCTTGACTTTTGAGAAACAGGTTGGTAAGCTCATTAAAAATCAATAATTTTTTTGTAACGATCTGCAATATCACTTTAAATATTTGATTAATATTCTGCATATATGTACTATCAAGAGGTATTTTTAATGCACGAACTTTCTTCTTTTGATTTCCACCAGCGACGTTCGTACCGATTTCACTTGCTTATTTTGAAAGACAATGATAGTACGTAGTACGATAGTAATTTTTGTTCACTCCGATGCACTGTATTCGCTTACAAAAATAAATAACGTTTCTTTGCATGATTCTAATATCGTTAGTATTACAACGTCACTATGTCGACAAATAGATTGTATTTTTCAGGTGAAAACCGTGCGTCAGACTAAAAGAATTGAATTTTCCTTGTCCGACCCACTATTTCCACCCAAAAAATTGTCTGCATGGTAGTTCGCATGTTAACAATATTGTTATGATCGGTTTTATAAAAACCATGCATCAGATTGAAAAAACAGATCATCTCGCATCGATTTTTGCTTCGAAGTGATTGAAAATTTTAATAAGATAGAAATAAACAGCATACCATCACTGTCTATTAAAACAGGCAGATAAAATTAAAAGAATGCCTTTTGACACGTTTACATGTGTGCCAAATTTCATTAAGTGATAATACGGATATTCATAATCAAGGATTAATTTTTTTGACCTTTTTTACCACCCTGTGTTTCAAAAGTTAAAACATTTAAGATATACGATCATTTGAAGTTTTCATCTTAAAATGGACCTGAAACCACCCCCCTAGATATGGACATTAAATTAGGAAACAAACTAAATTGCAGCTACCACTACTTCAGGGGATGAATGCAGACTTTTGAGCCAAAGATTTCATATTTTTTTACTGTGACTGTCATAACTAGCAAAATCTGATCTTCATATAAGTGTTTCAAATATCAAACCTGTCCAGTTTTTGACATTTCTTTCTCAAACAGTAAACGTGTTTCTTTCCTATGCCACAGTTTTAATAGATTTTCCCTCTTATGTTAAGATTACAAGTCAATGAACAAATTGGAACTGTATTTAGCTGTACTCACTTCTTCTTCATATACCACATTCTAAAACATTAATATATGGTGCAATATATTTGACAAATACAACATATTTTTCCTTGAGGCTCAGTGCATTGATCTCCTTGTTCTTGATGATGCCACTGAAGTATGCTCAGTAGCTGAAGGCTTCATTATAACGGGCCTAAGAGCCGTTTCAGATGTAGTCGACGCTCCGCGCTCACGGTCAGTGCTGACCGTCAGCACCTATGCTATCGCGTTTTCACATGCTGCGTTGTTCAGTATGTATGTGCGAAACAACAGCATGCGCGCCGTTGCCGTTTATATTATTTTACCTAGACGATGACAACAAAAACCGATGAAAAAGAGGTTGGACTTCCTTGTACTAGAGCGAAACGTATCAGGTGCTTTCGTAACATTATACGCCAGCCTCAGAGAAGATGAAAGAAAGTCTTATAAATATTTTCGCGTGACAATAAAATCCTTTAACTGCATTCCAAATTAGAGAGTAACCTGAAATTTGCTGACAAAATATGAGTTTCTATTTCGTCGGTGGAGCGAATGTGTTTAGCATCAAGGTAAGGAACAAACTTGTAGTGCACAAATTTTAATATTTATTTCCAGAAACTGAAGTCCGGTTAAGGTAGGGTGCATTGTTGCTTGTGATATGGATATGATATGGAAGCAGCATATTATCACGGTGTTTGTATTCCTCCCAGCAGAAATCCCAAATACATTTTTCTTCTTGTATTGCAGCTATTAATAGTTCGGTATCAATATAAATGTTATTACTTTTCCTATCACTCATTTTATACACTTTTGGCAACCACCAACACGCCAATAAACAAACCAAATCAGGAAAACGCTGCAACATCGCTCGCCGACCATCAGCTTGCATGTGAAATATACCATATCTACAATGGTCCTACTTCGTGCTGATGGTGAGCATCAGCTCGGGCTCAGCTGGCGACGGACGATACGTGCCGAACGGCTCATACGCAAGGCATGTTAAATGATTCATTTACGCTAATACGAGCACCTTCCCACTTCAGTTGGCCCACTTACAATATTTGTACCAAAATGTGCCTTTATAAACTAAACATGACGAAACTATTTACTTCTAAAACAATTTATTTCCTCAAAAACATTTTAGATACACTCTAGTCGTAAAAAATACATATTCGAAATCACTTAGGCCTATAACTAATAGAACATCTGAACAAATAAACAATGTGCCAATAATTGGGCGAAGTTAACAAAGCAACAATTGGAAGATTACCATTGGGTAACATCACCTTTGTTTTTTATTACGTCTGAAATTCTTTGGGGCATAGTGTTAACCAAGTTTTGGCAAAAATTTGGTGTAAAACAATCCCATATTTCTTGAAGCTTTTGTCTCAGTTCGGTGATTGTACGAGCAGGATGTTGTCGTAGAACGTTTTCATCTCGTCCCACAAAGTTTCAATAGGTGACAGATCAGGACTGCTAGAAACCCATTTCAAAAGTGGTACGTTATTTACTTCCATCCATTTTATAGGCTTTTTTGACGTATGGCACGCTGCACCATCTTGCTGAAACACAAAATCTTGGCCGGATGTCAAACATTCTTCCATCACTGATAAAAGCGATTCTTCTAAAATTGACAAATATTTGTTTCCTACTCCTTTTGATGACATACTGCCCCAGACCATAATGGATGCTGGAAATTTCAGTTTTCTCTTCAGACAGTCAACATGGAATACTTCATTTTTTTTGCGAATAACTACTGCGACTGTCACCAACACAAACTTCGAATCGGGCCTCATCACTCCATTCCATTGCACACCATTGTTTAGGTGTCCATTGTCTATGTTCTGTAGTCCATCTAAGCCGAATTTTCTTTTGCAGTGGAGTAATAGTGGCTTTTCTTTGGCCTATAAACAATTGTGCAACTTTAGGGTTTTTACTTCACTTTTTTCATAAGAAAACTTACCTTGCAAGTGCTAAATCCCAGTTTGTGGGCCTCTCTATGAGTTGTGGACCTCGAAATTCTCCTTCCAACAGCGTCACTCCACAGAGCACTTAATTGTAAATAATTGGTACGCCAGTATTTCACGATTATTCTTCTTAATGTTCTTCGGTCGGCATTTGTTTTATTACTTTTTTTCACATATCGTGCCTTAATGTTAACTGAACCAGTTACGTTATATCTTCTAACAATATTTCTCACACCGTACCGCGATAAGTCAAACAAAGTTGCAATTTCTGAGTTTGGTTTCCCAGAACTAAAAGATTTAATTATCAGTAACCGAATTTTCTCACTAATAACCTTTCCTCTACCCATTTTGGAAACCTTAACTACCCAAAACTATTTTAAACGTATTCTGACAGCTGTGGTTAATAAAAACAATTGTCATGGCTTTTATTTTTCACAGCCACCATGCGTTATAGACTTATTTTGCATTGAAATGAAAATAGGTTGATATTCTGTAATTGCAACATGTGTTATTTTTATGCTGCAAATTTGATTAGGGAGTGATAAAGTTGGAGTTTTCTGCTATATATTATCAAAATATTCATTGTTATTATTTTAAACCTATAACACCCTGCTACGTTTTTATTATTTGTGTTTGATAAGAAAAAAACTAAGATTTCAATAGTTGGGCCAACTGAAGTGGGAAGGGGCTCGTACATATATTCATTATCACTGAGGGTCAGCGCTAAGTGTCGGCTACATCTGAAGCGGCTCTAAGTCCTTCTGACATCGAAGGACCTATATTGAACTTAGTAGCTCCGAACATCTCCCCAAAATAGTTATATTCTCGCTTAGGTAATGGCGGCAGACACAAGCCTTTCTATAATATCCCCATTGAAGTACCATAGTGGATATGTTTAAACTATGACCTTGATATAAAAACTGACGATTAATTGGAGACGTTTACTTCAAGCATCATTAACAGTGCATTTAAGGTCGCTATATAAGGACGGACTGGCGACGCTGTGAGTGGCGCACGGCTAAGTTTATAAATTCGCGTTAACAACCGCACAACCCGTTTTTAAGTAGAATATCCTTAGTAGTACGACACCCGTTTAATTTTTATAACGAGCCACAGCAATGGAAAAAGGAATGAATTCTCCTTTGAAGTACATGGCTTTATGATGCCATATAATGCTTTCCGCAGCTGGTGCTGACTCAATTGGTGCAAGTTGTCCAAGGGGGTATTCAAAACATGTACGCATAAAACGGATACTCCAATTTTTGTGGGAAAACTTTTCATTTGACAACAACCAATAATTAAACGTGCTTTTTGGGATTGACAGGCACGAAAAAACTTTCCATGTAAGATTTATAGGTATTTATGGAACCTATAAATGGAGACCACCAGTTTATTAAGCATTATACAGGGTTTGTTCAAAGATCGTTTAATCGCAAAATACACGTGTTTACCTTGCCGATATGAATCACAAACCATTCCCACAGATAAATGTTATTTTTATGCGAAAAACGAAGGTTACGTTTTTCTGCTAAACAAATTCAAACATTTCGTATTTTTGACTAACTGAACAAATGCGCTACGATATTCGAAAAATATACG